GGGCTCGTGGACTGCATCACAAAGACGTCTTGTCCCCTGGTCCCTGGCTGCTCTTCCACACAAATGCCATGCCCTGTGATGGCCGTGAAACCTCCCCTCTCCACTGTTAAAACACATCATTACTTCAGTCTGGCTTTCAGTGTACTGGTGGCTGGGCGTGGTGGCTCACGCCTGTCATCCCAGCACTTTGGGAGGCGGAGGTGGGTGGATCACAAGGTCAGATCAAGACCAGCCTGGCCAACATGGTGAAACCCTGTCTCTACTAAAAATACAAAAAAATTAGCTGGGTGTGGTGGCGCGTGCCTGCAGTCCCAGCTACTCCGGAGGCTGAGGCAGGAGAATTGATTGAACCCAGGAGGCAGAGACTGTCTAACACTTCTGGTTAGAACTTCTCCCAGAACGTGGATCTGCCATGGAGGGCATCAAATAAGGGTGTTGGAGGCAGCTGTGCCCCAGGGGGCTGGAAAATGCCAGTGCTAATGCCCATGTGTGGCATCTGGGCCTAAGTTCCAATTCTGCCCACAGCCCTGAGGCACTGGGGACACGGTGTGTGTTCTCAGCTCCTTGGCTCTCCTCTGCTGCCTGCACAATGGCGGAGATGTGATACCTGCTCAGGCAGTGGCTGGAAGTCAACAGGCGGCTGGCTTATGCAAACGGGGCAGCCACAGAGGCAGAATAAAGATGGGGGAGGAATTGAGGAGCCAGCAAAGAATGGTGGGAGCTAGCGGGGAGGAGCGGGAGTGGGAGGCCATTGCCGCGCTAAGGCTGCAGGACCCAGAGGAGGATCTGCTTGGAGACCAGCGAGAGCTGTGACCCAGGACACCTGCTGTGACCACAAGTAAAAAAGCACAACCCCTACCAGACCTCAGCCCAGCAAGAAGGGAATCCAGGAAGCAAACGCCCCAGTGCCATCCTCTGGCAACCAGGTATCATGCCACTGCCCTCTGCCGGCCAAACCCCGCGGGAGGGCAGAGGACTCGGGAGCTGGGACATCTGTAGGCTGAGCCTCCAGGACACAGAGCATCTAGGCAAAGGACAGATTGGAGACTCACGGGGACTCACCGGCAGTGATGGGCTGTGTAATGCACCCCATAAAACATGCCCACATTCGAATCCCCAGAGCCTGTGGATAGGTTACTTTCTAAGCAAAGGAATTTTGCAGCTGTGATTATATTAAGGGCCTTGAGGTGGGGAGATGAGCCTCTATAAACCAGCAGGTGGGGACAATGTAAGCAGATGGGTCCTTATCAGAGGGAGACAGGAGGGTCAGGGACCTGCAGAAGCCTCGTGATGACGGAAGCAGAGGGACGCAGAGTGGAAGATGCTACGTTGCTGCCTTTGAAGGGGCCACGTGGCAAGGAATCCAGGCAGCCTCTAAAAGCTGAAAAAGCCAGGAAATAAAATGGACTCTCCGCTCCAGCCCCTGGAGGGAACACTGCCCTGCCAACCTAGTTTAGAATCCCTGACCTTGGGAACAGTAAGAGAATACTGGTGTGTTGTTTTCAGCCATAAATTTTGCCATAATTTGCTGCAGCCACCATGGGAAACGATTACCCCTGCACAATGCCCTGGGAAGGGGCGTCCCTCGGGCCACTAAGCCCCTTACTACTGACCCAAAGGACTCCCTGGTCTCAGGGTCTCTGGCAACTCCAGAGGTCAGAATGGTGGCTCCTCCCTGGGAGCAAATGCCTTGATTAACCAGTAATGATTCCTGAGGACACGCCAGGCCAAACGGGGGCGGTGGGGGGGACGCCTGCAAAACCCCACAGGTTCTTCTCATGTTGATCCTTCCAGCTGCTCCCACACAAAGGCAATTGGCATGCCCCAGGCTGCTGCCTGATACAAGTTTCACGTTTTCTCCTTTGTTAAAAAATGCATCACATCCACGTGTGAAGCATCTGGTGTAGGAGGCAGCACAGTGTAGCTTTTTTTAAAAAAAAGAGTGTGGTGGCTCACGCCTATAATCCCAGCACTTTGGGGGGCCGAGGCAGGCGGATCATGAGGTCAGGAGTTCGAGACCAGCCTGCCCAACATGGTAAAACCCCATCTCTACTAAAAATACAAAAATAAGCTGTGAGTGGTGGCAGGCACCTGTAATTCCAGCTACTCAGGAGGCTGAAGCAGGAGAATCACTTGAACCCAGGGAGCTGAGGTTGCAGTGAGCTAAGATTGTGCCACTGCACTCCAGCCTGCCCCAGTGCGAGACTCTGTCTCAAAAAAAAATAGAAGCCCCAGCCCAGACACCTGGAAACCTGATGCTAATCCTGGATCTACTGCCCCTCTCTAAGCCTCAATTTCCCCATCTGTACAAAGGGTTGGGACTGAGTTGCCTCCGAGGACCTAGTTTGTTGGCAGCCTCATTCCGTGGTTCTAAAGGCCTTTTTCCCTGTCCACAGCTTGCCTGACCTGGTGACCTGCAGCCGTCAGTGACAGTCAGAGCTGATGGAAAACCGCCAGATCTGGAGCCCAAAGCTGCCATCTCCTGCCCCAGGGACCTGTTTGCTTGTTCTCTGCTGCCCCCTGCTTGCAACTTGAAAACAAAGCTTTCTGGCTGGATCTAGAGGAAAGAAGCCCTTGAGAGAGAGGCCCTGCAACCTATTACAACCGCCCGCCCAGACCTGGCCAGCCAGGCCCTTGCTTTAGGCTGGGTTTCAGGAAGCAGAAAGAGGCCCAGGCAGCAACTAGAGCCCTGGATGGGGAGGCTGCCTGCATCTCTCCCGACGTCTGCATCCCACCTCCTCTGCTGGAGGAAGATGGGGTTCGGGATGCAGCAGTTTCTGAACAGTGGTTCTGTCGGCCCAGCTCTGCCTTTGGAGGATCATAACACTAGGACAGGGGTCCCTGTGCACCCTCTCTCCAGCCTATCTCCCACCACATGCTATGGGCACCCTGGTTTCTATCCCCTTTTTCCTGTTTTCAAACATCCAGAGGCATCAGAAGGGGAGATGTCCACACAGGATGAGCCAGACAGGACCAAGCAGGAGCCAGGGCTGGATTCGGACTGCCCTCCTACCAGGGAGCCCACAGGCCACATTCCCACCACAAATGAGGGGGGACTGTCGCTGCTCATCCCCAAGAGAAAGGGCAGCTGGTAGGACAGCTACATACAGAAAATGGACAGGGCCAGAAATGCCCTCATTCTGGTGGCCCAGGGGTCACGAAATTGGAACCACAGAGAAAACCATGCAGTGGAGGCATCACGCTAGGCCCTGCGGAAAAACACGTACACGGCCACAGTCACGCAAATGCTGTTTATTGATTTTCAGATTTTAGAGTCAACCTGTGGACAAAGCACAGAAGACTTAGTTTTGCTTACAGAGCAGAAGATAGATGTTAACAGGGGTGATGGAAAAGTAAAGTACATCAGAACTTTGGGGATGCAGTTAGTGCTGGGGAACCCCTGCTGGGTGGAGACAAGCTCTAGGGCAGAAGAGAAGACCAGGAAGGCCTTGGCAGTTGACTACGTGGTGCTGGGCCGGATACTTCGTCACCACCTGCCCCACTCCAGGCACCTGGATGGTGCTAGAGGATGTCACCAGTGTGACAGCACCTCCTCCTACTCTTCCTTCTTTAGGGAGGATCAAGAGGAGGGAAGGAGTGGGAAGGGAAGATTCCAGCACTGCCATGCTCAGCAGACACAGGAAGTCACCAGCCTGAGGAAGGCAGTGGGGTTTGGACACTAGACTAAATTGAAGATCAGCTAAAACAGGGGCAAGTGAAGCAGCTTTCCATAAGACATGCCAACCAGGTGCCATGTCAGTTACCCATTGCCATGGTGACACCCTGGCATTTCCACCCTTTTTTGTGGCAATGACCCCAGGACCCAGAAGTTACTACTTCTTCCCCAGAATTTTTTTTTTTTTTTTTTGAGACAGAGTCTCGCTCTGTCACCCAGGCTGGAGTGCACTCGCACAATCTCGGCTCACTGCAACCTCCACCTCCCAGGTTCAAGCGATTCTTCTGCCTCAGCCTTCCTAGTAGCTAGGATTACAGGCACACGCCACCACACCCAGCTAATTTTTGTATTTTTAGTAGAGACAAGATTTCGCCATGTTGGCCAAGCTGGTCTTGATCTCTTGACCTCATGACCCACCCGCCTTGGCCTCCCAAAGTGTTGGTATTACAGGCGTGAGACACTGCACCCAGTGCCCCTAGAAATTGTTGTTTAAACTGCTCCTTAATCTACATGTAATTAAAAGTGGGTATAAACCTGACTGCAGAACTGCCCTGAACTGCCACTCTCTGCTTTTATGGGGTAGCCCTTCTCTACAGGGTCAGTCATGAAGCTGTAACACTACAGCTTCAAGACAGCTGTATTTTTTTTACTTTCTTTTTTTTTTTCTTTTTTGAGATGAAGTTTCACTCTTGTTGCCCAGGCTGGAGTACAATGATGCCATCTCAGCTCACTGCAACCTCTGCCTCCCTAGTTCAAGTTATTCTCCTGGCTCAGCCTCCTGAGTAGCTGGAATTACAGGCACATGCCACCACACCCACCTAATTTTTTGTATATTTAGTAGAAATGGGGTTTCACCATATTGGCCACGCTGGTGTCAAACTCCTGACCTCAGGTGATCTGCCCACCTCAGCCTCCCAAAGTGCTGGGATTACAGGCGTGAGCCACCACTCCCGGCCACAGCTGTTTTCTTCTGCCCTACCAGTGGCTTGCCCGTGAAATCTCTCCTGGGGGAAGCCAAGAACCCACTCAGGCTAAGCTCCAGTTTTGGGGCTTGCTCACCCTACATCAAGACCCATTAAAGTCAGTGGGATTCTAGAGAGTTCTAGGTGTCCTTCATAAAGTTGCAAAACTAACCAAGAAATGACCCGCAAATGTAACTATCCAAAATGGGGAGACAGGGAGGGGTAGCAGGGATGAGAAAGGATAAGAGCATCAGATCCTCATTTGTCATTGACACGGGGTAAAATCAACAGGTGGAGAAACTGGTTTAAACAGATTACTTGGAAATAGAGAAAACTACCAGAAGAACAAAAAACAGTGTCAGTTAAAACCATGGCACGGAAAAAATGGGACGGGTAGGGGAGAAAACCACTTTTATTCATTCATAAGTTCTTCTGTGCCCTTTGGATTTTTTTTTTTTTTTACCATAGGCGTGTCTGATTTTGATTTCAAAGATTAATTTTAAATTTCAAAACGCAACACCACAATCCTGGTCAATTGAACCGGAAGTGACTGGGCCACTTGCTCCCTGCCTGGGTGCCAGGCTGGCCGTGGGCCTCAGGGGGTCAGTGCTGCAGTGGGTGCCCTGGGGACAGGGATGGCTCTGCAGGTGACTCTGCAGGTGGCTCTTCGGGCGGCTCAGCGGGTGGCTCTGTAGATGACTCTGCAGGTGGCTCTGTGGGTGGCTCTGTGGATGACCCTGCAGGTGGCTCTGTGGGTGGCTCTGTGGATGACCCTGCAGGCGGCTCAGCGGGAGGCTCTGTGGATGACCCTGCAGGCGGCTCAGCGGGTGGCTCTGTGGATGACTCTGCAGGTGGCTCTGCTGGAGGCTTCGTGGCCCGCTGGCTCAGCATGTTTCGGCAGCGCAGCCGCTCCTCCTCCTCCTTCTCCGCCATGCGGTTCTCCAGCAGCCTCAGCTCCCTGCGCACCGCCTTCTGCATGGACGGCTCCAGCTCCAGCACTTTCTGGAGGTCTGCCTTGGCCTCGGCCTCGTTCCACACCTCCGCGTGAGCCCGGGCACGCACATAGTAGGCCTTCACAATGCCTGTGGGGAGCATACAGCTGCAGCCCCCCTGCCCAGCCTCAGAGGCAGCCCCCGCCCAGCTGGGACTCACCAGCCTACAAGACCATTAGCCGCGTCGTGATCCTTAAACTCTCTGTACCCCCCGTGCTTCGGTTTCCCCAACTGTAAGATGAAGATGATGATCATAATAGCAGTACCTCCTCCTCTCCTTTTCAAGGCCCTGTGATTGATTTTATATTCTTAACTTTGTTTTCTTTTTCTTATAGACACTCCCTAAATTAGATAACCTTCAGGCCCTTTCCCTGCACCTCCCCCATATGGTGATTACCAGGATTATGAGGATTAAATGAGATAATCAACGCAGAGGACTTGTGCCTGATGGATGAGCCAAGTTCTGGATGTTGTTATCGTGAGCGCTGTCGGAGTGTTAAGTCAATACTAGTACCAGCGGCCCCATATCCTCACACCACCTGTACTAGTATCGACATAATATTTAATCTATATTGATTGCCCCTCTTTTTTAAAAGCCTATTTACTGTTCCACTGAAATCACAAGTTTGGTGAGTTTCCTTGGTAAGCGTTCAAATACACATTAAAACAAAAGGCCCCACACCAAGCACGGCCCATCGATCACCCAGGATTCAGTTACACGCTCTGGGAAACCCGGCAGAGCGGAGGCAAAGTTCGGTGCCCTGGTGGGGTGGAAAGGAAAGTCCAGGGAGGTTGTGACAGATGTCTCTGTGGCCCTGGGCTGGGCGCCCCTTTGCTGCCCACCCCTCCAGCCCTGCGCACCTGGGTGGTGCCGGAGAATGTCACTGGTGTGCTCCAGCACCTCGTAGTACTCCTCCTTCTTCAGCAGGCACTGGCAGTAGTTGAGGATCAGGGTATTAATCATCTTCTCCAGCTTCAGCCACTGCACCTCCCAGGGTTTCTCCTGCCCAAAAAGAAGGTCAGCCTTGACCTCAGGCTGCTGCTTGACCCTCGCCCCGCCCTGGCCAGCACTGGGCAGGTCCCCCAGAGTCAGCCCCACTTCTCAGCCCCTGCCAACAGCCTCCCACCTTGGTCTGCAGGTTCCTTAGGCAGATGATGGCCTCCTGGTACTTGGAAGAGGCCTCCTCGTAGCGGCCCAGCTTGAAGAGCCGATTTCCTTCTCCATGGAGGATGGGCACCACCTTCATCTTCTCGTGATTGCTCAGGTTCCAGGTCTCCCTCTGGTAATCACTCGGGGCGTCAACCTGGCCCCAGAGCTGCAGGTCATTGAGGAAGGAACCCCGGGGGCCTCACCCCAGCAGGGACCAGAGAAAGTGGGCCCTGGCATGTCTCCCTGAAGTCATGCTTGCTGGTCAATTGCATACAGACAAGGGAAAGAAGCAACAAGGCCAAAAACCCTGCCCTAAATCAGTGCCTTTGTGCACACAAGGAAAAGGTGCCCATTCTTCAAGACACTTCACTTCTAATATTCAGAAAATTGTTGCCAGGCGCAGTGACTCACGCCTGTAATCCCAGCACTTTGGGAGGCCAAGGTGGATGGATCACGAAGTCAGGAGATTGAGATCATCCTGGCTAACACAGTAAAATACCATCTTTACTAAAAAGACAAACAATTAGCTGGCAATGATGGCACGTGCCTGTAATCCCAGCTACTCGGGAAGCTGAGGCAGGAGAATCACTTGAACCTGGGAGGTGGAGGTTGCAGTGAGCTGAAATCGCGCCATTGCACTCCAGCCTGGGCAACGGTGAGACTCCGTCTCAAAAAAAAAAAGGAAAAAAAAATTGTCAGGAATACTCATTTTGTTAGAACAATGCACTGTTGCCATCTGCTGGAAAATGGTCATTATAGCAATACCAATATACAAGGTCTATAATGAGCACCTCGGAGGAGATGCCGGTACACCTTGCGCAGTGCACAGACCACACAGCTGACTGTGACAGTAAGCCTGTAAAGGCCCTACAGTGACACAGTTCTCATTTTATTTTTATTCACCCACATAGCTCTCAGGCTGAGCCTCATTTTTGGCCATAGCTGAGTCCCAACGTGACCTTGATCCTGGCCATAACCCTCTCCCACCAATCCACAAACATGGGCTGTCAGTCACTCTGGGGCTCTAGGTGGGAGGATGTGGGGAGTTCCATGCAGCCTCTCCCACTACTTGAGAACCAAATCTGAATCCACAAACCACAGGAAGGAGGAGGTTATAATCTTAAACTCTTGGAAAAAAAAGTGAAAGTGGATAATCAATAGACACAGTGGCTCACACCTGTAATCCCAGCACTTTGGGAGGCCAACGCAGATGGATCACCTGAGTTCAGGGGTTTGAGATCAGCCTGACCAGCATGGAGAAACCCCATCTCTACTAAACCTACAAAATTAGCCAGGTGTGGTAGCGGACACCTGTAATACCAGCTACTCGGGAGGCTGAGGCAGAATCTATTGAACCTGGGAGGCAGCGGTTGTGATGAGCCGAGATCGCGCCATTGCACTGGAGTAAAATACCTCCAAAATGAAAATGAGTCACATTTTTAAAAATGGGCTCCAAACGGACTTTTCTTTTTTTTTTTTTTTTTCTTTTTCAGTGACAGTCTCACTCTGTCACCCTGGCTGGAGTGCAATGGCGCGATCTTGGCTCACTGCAACCTCCACCTTCCAGGTTCAAGCAATTCTCGTGCCTCAACCTCCTGAGTAGCTAGGATTACGGGCATGCACCACCATGCCGGGTTAATTTTTGTACTTTTAATAGAGACTGGGTTTCACCATGTTGGCCAGGCTGGTCTCGAACTCCTGACCTCAAGTGATCCACCACCTTGGCCTCCCAAAGTGCTGGGATTACAGGCATGAGCCACCATGCCCAGCACCAAATGGACTTTTTGAATGGAAAAAGCAGAGGTCTTTTTTTTTTCCAAGTTCATATTCCCCTGTGGTTTATGAACCCTTTCTGATTCTCTAAAGAGAAATAGGGCACTGTCCAGTGGTCAGTGGGATAGGGGGTGCCCGTGATGCCCGCTGTCCCTCTCTGGTGCTGGCACAGCCCTCCAGCCCTGCCTACCCCGAGCCCCACCTGCAGCAGCTCAATCACAAAGATCAGAGGCTGAGGCTCCTTCTGCAGCTCATCCAGGTCCTCATAGCCCAGTGTGTGGTAGGCGAACATGTTGGCCAGCCCACACGTGTGCACGTGCCACTCCGTCGGGTCCTTGCCCTGGGCCATCTGCCGCAGGCTCCGGGACAGGATGGGGTAGACCCCCGTGTGCTGGGGAGAGAAACAGATGGCATCTGGGCTACCTGCTGAGAGCTAGGTGGGCCACAAAAGGCCTCCACTCAGAGCCCCTCCTGGCAGGAATCCTGCCACCTCACTATGCCACTAATGCTAACTGTGATTCACTGAGTGCCAGGCAAAGCACTTTACACCATCATGAGCTCCTTTAATCCTTATGACAATTGAAGGCAGGCATTATTATACCCACTTTACGGATGAGGAAACCACAGCCCAGAGAGGCAAAGCAACTTACTTACGGTCACACAGCTAGGAAATATGCAGTCAGGATTCAAACCTGGCCCCAGAGGCCATATGCTCTTAGCCTCTGGCTACCTCTTCTGGCCCTTGTGGTCCACTGCAACACATCTCTGCCCCAAGGAAACTCTGAGCTCTGTGAAGCCTATGACTGACAGGAAGGGCAGTGTGGCACAGTGGAAGGAGCAGGCCTCCAGGGTCCGAGAGTCACTTTGGTGTCCTGGAACTGCTGCAGATTAGCAGTGAGCCCGGGTCTCTGTACTTCTCTGAAGCTCACTTCCCTGGGTTGCTCCTGTCTGGTATTAGGGCTGCTGTAGGGATTAAATGAGATGGTGCAGATATGGGTCTGGCTCATCACAGCCTCAGCCAGAATGGGAGCTGTGGTCGCCACTCTTGGGATGAAGAGGGGCTGGGAAAATCAGCTGTGCAGCCTTAGCGAGTCATGCCGTATGTATGCTGGGCCTCAATTTCCCCAACTAGGCTCTCTGAGAACCCATCTCCTTGGACTGGCTTCTGAGATGACCCAGTTCTGGCCCCACATGCAACATGTTGTTGGGAAGAGAAGCGGATGAAACTCCGTGCAGCAGTTCAGCTCTGCCTCCAGGTCACCAGCAGAGACAGAGGTCACCCCACCCATCGCACCACCAGCTGGGATTAGCCCGAAATGCCTCTGCCTCTTCGTGGAAGAGACGAGCAGATGGCTGTTGAGCCTGTTGGGATTAGAGCTGCACCAAGGGAGGGAGAGCCTCAGAACCAGCTTGCTGCAGGGAGGGAGCACCCCAGCCCTGACTCAGCAGCCCGTAGCTCGGCACCCCATGGCTCCAAGCAAGCTGAGCGTGCTTTTGTGGTCCCAAAGCACACTGCCCTCGCTTATCTATGTTGTGGCACTGGCTACCCTGCATTACAGTTGTTTAGGTGTGTGCTCCTCCAGAATTCAAGTTCCTTATGGGCTAGAGCTTCACTTGTTTCATTCCTAACATACAGCACAGGCCAAAGGAGGTGCCCAGTGAATGTTTTCTAATTAGATATAGATAGATAGATAGATAGATAGATAGATAGATAGATAGATAGATGAATGACAGGAGATGGATAGGAGATGATGGATGCATGCATAGTGATGAAAGACTGGATTATGAATGAAGATTGAAGGGAAGAATGGATGAATTGATGCCTGGGCAAGCAGGTGGATGGATAAGAGGTGGGCGTGCAGGTGAAGAAATAACTCTAGAAGGGGTGGGGGGGGGCGTGTGGGTGTATGTGCACAATCATGGCAGCCATGGGCTGGGGTGAGGAGATGGGAGGGGTGTGGAGATTGGGAAAACCTATAGTTACTATGGTATAACAGTTACCAGCTGGGCACAGTGGCTCATGCCTATAATCCCAGCACTTTGAGAGGCCAAGGGGGCAGATCACCTGAGGTCAAGCATTTGAGACCAGCCTGGCCAATGTGGTGAAACCCTGTCTCTACTAAAAATACAAAAAAAAAAAAAATTAGCCGGGCATGATGGTGGGCACCAGTAATCCCAGCTACTCAGGAGGCTGAGGCAGGAGAATCACTTGACCCCAGGAGGCAGAGGTGACAGTGAGCCAAGATCACACCATTGCACTCCAGCCTGGGCAACAAGAGGGAAGCTCCTTCTCAAAAAAAAAAAGTTCAGCCTGTGATAAGAGCAGTGCATTCATGTGACTATCAATGTGGACAAAGGAACACACACTCCACAGGAAACAAAAAGCCATGCCCATGTTATGGGAATGACCACAGCTTGTGGTTTTGCAAACAACAAATCAATCATCTAATCAAGAATTTATTGACAGCCTTCTATGCACTCAGCTGTCATGTGTTAATGAACATGTAACCTATGAAGAGGGGGTTCTTGGTGGCAGCCAGGCCTTGCCTCTCATATGGCGTGAATTGAAGTACAGGAGTCCCTCACTCTAAGCAAAGCCAATAGATATATTTTTAAACTCACTAAAATCACAAAGAAGCCAATTTTCTGAAGGCTTGACCTGATAAAAATAAAACAGATTTTAAGTTAAAAACATCAGAAGGAAGAAAAACACTGGGACTGTTAACAAAGAAAAGATGTTCAACAAACATGTGCTATGTGAGTGAAGAAATGAATAACATGTAGGGTGGGATCACCTACTGGCAGAGGTTGGTACTGCAGCCCAACTCTATTAGACATTGTGAGAAACATGTGCAGGATGAAGAGGGAATCATGTGTCTCACCCAGATCTTTTCTCTTAACCTGTTTGAGCCATTACAAGTTTTCCTTTTTTTGGAGTCAAGTTTTCTCATTAGTAAAGTGAAGAAGTTAATCTCAAAATGTTTCCTAGGCTGGGCACTGTGGCTCATGCCTATAATTCCAGCACTTTGGGAGGACGAGGCGGGTAGATCACCTGAGGTCAAGCCTAGTCCAACATGATGAAACCCCATCTCTACTAAAAATACAAAATAAAATTAGCTGGGTGTGGTCGTGGGCACCTGTAATCCCATTTACTCAGGAGGCTGAGGCAGGAGAATCGTTTGAACCTGGGCGGCACAGGTTCCAGTGAGCAGAGATTGTGCCACTGCACTCTAGCCTGGGTGACAGAGTAAAGCTCCGCCTTGGGGAAAAAAAAATTCTAGCTCAAAATAATAGCTCTAAGTTTTAATTGCCCTCATATGTTATATCACTTAATCTCCAAAACAACTCCTTAACTTAGAGTTTTGTTTATTTATAAATGAAGGAATAGAGTAGCATGCAGAAGAAGGGACTTCCCCAGATCACACAACTAATAAAAGACAGAACAGGTTCAAACTGTCCCCGAAATGCTCACTTAAAAGGTCAGTGGCCTCTGATGAAATAATGAGTCTGGGTATCTGCCATCAATGGTGAAAGTCTAGGGGCAGCTTTGGAATGGATGGATCAGGCTGTCAACACCCACACTCACCAATCACTCTTAACATCACCATAAGACAGACAAGTAGGTGTCATGGACTTCTCTCAAAGGGAAGTGTATGCTCTCATCCATAGCAGATTTTTTTAAAAAGAGAGAAAAAATCTGAATTTTATCAAGTCCTCTAGACTCAGCTTTCAATTTATCAAAAACATGGGGAATAAAGGAACATGTTAGACAATTTCATGGCAAAGTACCAGGAAAATCAGAATGTGGGACTTGTACAGGATAAATGACCCCATTCCTTCAACATATCCATGTCAAGGAAGAATAGAAGAAAGGAAGGTGAACGTATAGATAAAAATAGACTTGACACATCAACAAAGCACTATGCGGGGACTTTGTTTGGTTGTTGATTTAAACAAACCAAACTCATTCATTTATAAAGAATAAAAGAGGAGTCAACCAGAGAAAATTTAACAGTGACTGGATATTAGACGGCTTTAAGGAATTACTGGAGTTTTTAAAAGATTTCATAACGATGTCATGGTCAAGTTTTTTTAATATCCTCATATCTGGCCAGGTGCGGTGGCTCACACCTGTAATCCCAGCACTCTGGGAGGCCAAGGTGGGTGGATCACAAGGTCAGCAGTTCGAGACCAGCTTGGCCAACATAATGAAACCCCATCTCTACTAAAAATACAAAAATTAGCCAGGCATGGTGTGCCTATAGTCCCAGGTACTCGGGAGGCTGAGGCAGGAGAATCACTTGAACCCAGGAGATGGAGGAATGCACCACTGCATTCCAGCCTGGGTGACAGAGCAAGAGTTTGTCTCAAAAAAAATCCTCATATTTTAGAGATACAAATTTTAGTATTTACAGATGAAGTGATATGCTGCCTGGCTTTTACTTTAACCATGCAGGACAAAGAAGGGAAGTGGGTGGGGTGGAAGACGAAGCAAGACCAGCCGTGGGTTGATGGTGGCTGGCACTGGGTTCTTAGAAGTGCATTATACTTTCTGTTGACTTTTGTTTTTGTTTGAAAGTTCCCATAAGAAACATTGCCTAAAGGTCAGTGGGTGTGCCATAAGGCAAGGAAGCTAACTTATAAGAGTAACTTATGCAGTGCCATAAATAGAGAGGGGAAACTTGCAACGTGAGGAAGAGGGCAAAAAAGTGACCAATGCTGGTCTAATCATACTCTATAACAAAGTCCCCAGATCTAGCTCAGGCACAGAGGCTCTCACCTGTAATCCCAGCACTTTGGGAGGCCGAGGCGGGTGGATCACGAGGTCAAGAGACGGTCATTGAGACCGTCCTGGCCAACATGGTGAAACCTCTCTCTACTAAAAATACAAAAATTAGCTGGGTGTGGTGGTACACGCCTGTAATCCCAGCTACTCCGGAGGCGGAGGCAGAAGAATCGCTTGAACTAGGCAGGCGGAGGTTGCAGTGAGCTGAGATCGTGCCACTGCACTCCAGCCTGGGTGTCAGAGTGAGACTGTCTCAAAAAATAATAATAATAATCTCCAGGTTGAATTACACTGTATAAAAAGCAAGGACTGGGTAAGGCATGATGGCTCACGCCTATAATTCCAGCAGTTTGGGAGGCCCAGTTGGAAGGATTGCTTAAGCCCAAGCTTAAGCTTCAGAACCAGCCTGGCCAACATGGAGAAACTCTGTCTCTACAAAATATACAAAAATCAGGTGTGGTGGCGTGCTACTTGAAGGCTGAGGTAGGAGGATCACCTGAGCACCGGAAGTTGAGGGCTGCAGTGAGCTGTGATTACACTACTGCACTCCAGCCTGGGTGACAGAACGAGACCCTGTCTCTCCCTCTCTCTCTCTCTCTCTCTCTCACACACACACACACACACACACACACACACACACACACGAGGACTGTGAAGCAGCTGGCTCCCTCCTGCTGGGCATAGCCCTGCTCCCACACCCCACCAGCCAGCCATGGCCCAGGCTGCCCCTTCCAGGCCTTGTTCCCTCCATCTTCGCACGCACAGCAATGGGGAATGAGGTTGCAGGATTGGCTTTTCAGGGCTTTGTTTCAGTCCCAGCTTTCCCCAAACACAGCAGCTCCCCCAAGCAGGTGGGTGAGCCCGGAAGAGACCAGCCCCAGAGAACTGGGCGCAGGGCCTACTTACGATGGTGTCGCACCAGAACTCGGCCACCTCGTGCACCCGCATGGAGGTGAGCAGGATCTCCCAGACCTCCAGCTTGAACATGTTCCCGACGATGATGTGCATGGGCTGGCCCACCTTCCTGCTGTCGTCAATCACCGTCCGCTCCTCATCACATTTCATGGTGCGGAAATGAAAGATCACCTGGTCACCGAGACAGCGCGCTCTGCTCTAGACACCTCTCCAGGTCAGGCAGAAGCCACCTCCCGGCCACCAACTCCCAGGTGTCTTCGGTCAGCTCACTCAGGTCACCCCATCAGATGCCTCACAGCCCCGGAGCACCTCCACTCTGCCTGCATCCCCCAGGGATGAGGAGCCCACCCCCTCCCTATGGACCCCATTCCACTCCCCACAGCCCTGACTGTCCGGAAATCCTTCCTCAAATAAGCCCACAGAAACACCCTTGAGACCAGGGAAGCCCAACCCACATTTGGGGACAAATGCCGAGACCACTGAGGCCCCCTTTTTTCTTCGTCCAGAAAATTCCTAAAAGTCCTTCCCCTCAGCTCATGCTAAAAGTGGAATCTGCAAAGTACCAGAAATGCCCCGTGAAGGCGTAGACGCTGGGAGCTCCCCAGAGGCCCAGGGCTGGGACTGCCTGGATGTTTTGGGGCAAAGCTGAAAGCTGTTTACAGTGCCTTGGGCACACCTGGACCGTGGAAGCCTGCTCTGGGGACCCTATCTGCTCCGGAGGGGCCCCACTCACTCGGGATCCGGTGATGAAGTTTGGGAGTTCGCCCGTGCCCCCGTGCAGAATGGTCTTCTTGACCCCTTCCACGTTCAGGAGCAAAGCGGCATCCATGGTTGGAGGAGGAAAAGTTGGAGGAGAAAAGGCGGTGTCCAGCACAGGCTGAGATAATCTCATCTCCGGGGAAGACACTTAGGCGGCTGAGACGCTGGGATTTGCCCAGCCAGTAGGAGTGGCGGGGGAGGGCAGGCAGTGGAGGCGGTGCCCCAGGCGCCCTGCTTCTCATCAGAGCCGCGCGGGTCTGTGGTCTGCAGGCAGCCTTTCCTCCTACCCCATCCACCACTCTTTCCAGTGATTCTGGGTCCCTGCCTGACACATGCCAGGGGTGTGCTAGGCTTGGGTTTTGCTCCCCCTCAAGAAGGAAGAAGGTCCCCTGAGCTTTCTTAAAGAAGGCAGGAAAGGAGGAGTGAACAGGAGAGGAGCCTGGAGGCCACTGAAGGGGAAAAGGAGGGGAGGCCTGGGCTGAACCCAGACTCTAAGCCCCTGAGGACCCCAGGCCAGGCCGGGCGGCAGCGACCCTTGCCATCCAACCACCTGCCTGCTTTCCCTGTTCCCTCTCCCCTGCCCAGGATCTGCCTTTAGGAGGCCCTGCGACAGTGGCCCAAGGGAAGAGAGGACAGGTTTCTGGCTTGGGAGGGAAGGAAGACAGAGAACAAAAGTCGGAGTGGGTTTGGGTAAAGCTGAGCGCCCTCCCCAGCCCCGCTCCTGCCTCCCCTGCAAGGTCTGGCTGCAGGAAGGTGCGTATTTCCTCCTCTTTGGAGGGCCTTAGCCCTGTGCTCTGAGAACCAGGCAGAGTGCATTCAGGGCATCCCCCACGCCCTTCCAGACTGCCAAACAAAAATGCTAAGACTTGGTGTTTGGCACCATCGTGTGGCCAGTTCAAGCTCCTTCGCCTCCACACCCTGAGGGTGGTGGACTCAGCTCCGCATAACCGTTCTCTTCCTGACACCAGGCTCACTTGTTGCAGAGGGAAGGGACCCTGCTACAGGGAGAGAGAAAAACACTAGACTATGCCAGGTGTGGTGGCTCATGGCTGTAATCCCAGCACTTTGGGAGCTGTGGTGGATCACCTGAGGTCAGGAGTTCAAGTCCACCCTGGCCAACATGGTGAAACCCCGTCTCCACTAAAAATACAAAAATTAGCCAGGAGTGATGGCAGGTGCCTATAATCCCAGCTACTTGGGAGTCAGAGGCAGGAGAATTGCTTGAGCCCAGAAGATGAAGGTTGCTCTGAGCTGAGATCACACCACCACACTGCACTCCAGCCTGGGCGATAGAATGAGACTGTGTCTAAAAAAAAAAAAAAAAAACAAGAAGGAGAAGAAGGAAGAAGAAAGGAGAAGAAGGAGGAGGACTGGATTGAGTCAGATACAGCTGAGTTCAAAGGGCTAAACCTTTCCTATTTACTGACCTTGTGGCCTTGGGTGTCTCTCATTTACTCTAACTGCATTTTCCCAATTGAAATGGAAAAATTGACCTCTGCTGCCTCCCTCCCAAGGGAGGTTGAGAGGCTGGCAGCAGTGAATGGGACCCTGAAATCCAGCACCCCTGAAAGTCTTGCCTCCCATGAGGAGTCATTGGCATAGAGGAGACCAAACCTGGGCCAACGGGTCAAGGCCAGGGAACCCTGGCCAGACCCCCAAGGGTCCAGTCTCCATCCCTGGAAGGTGGAAGGCTGCAGAAAACCTTCCCCTCCTCTCTTCCATCCTTTCTCCAGCGACACAGCAACCTAGAAAGGTCTGCATGCATAGGTAAAATGGATACTTAGGAAAACTAATATAGGAGTTATTAAGAAATAATTTTTAGACAGACAGTAAGGGTAAAGGTTCTCCAAGGAAATTTCCCTGCAATTAAAAACAACCCTCTAAACCATCTCTTTTCTTTTCTTTTCTTTTTTTGAGACAGAGTCTTACTCTGTCACCCAGGCTGGAGTGCAGTGACATGATCGTGGCTCACTGCAACCTCTGCTTCCTGGGTTCAAGGAATCTCCTGCCTCAGTCTCCCGAGTAGCTGGGATTACAGGTGCACGCCACCATGGCCTGACTAATTTTTGTATTTTTAGTAGAGACAGGGTTTCACCATGTTGGCCAGGTTGGTTTCAAACTCCTGACCTCGTGATCCACCTGCCTCAGCCTCCCAAAGTGCTGGGCTTACAGGCGTGAGCCACCATACCCTGCCACCATCTCTTTTCTGACAGAAAAAGGCTGCTTAAAGATCCAGGCTGGCAAGCCTTGATATGCAAATACCAACCATTAGAAATTGGGTTTACTCATATGGCGATTCCCACTGTCTATTCCTTGTCACCAGGTGTACCAAGTGTCATGGCCACCTCCAGATAACACCATGTGTTCAGAACATCCTGGTGACCTGCATTTGCATATTAAAGAGCTAAGGTGGGAGGGCCAGGTTTTTTTCGGACTATGTAAATGACACACCTAGTCAAACTAATCCCCTGGGCCCTATGGAAACCAGATACCACTTCCTCCTGCCTCCTCAAATAAGCAGCCACTTTTCGCCAAACCGGGTTTTCTCTTTGTTCAAATTCCCCCTCCTTTTGTCTCTGTATGGAGGAGCTATTTTCTTCTTCCTTCTTTCTTTTTTGCCTATTAAACTTTTTGCTCCTTAAAACCATTGCATGTGTGCTCGTGTTGTTAATCCTATTGGTGCAAGACCAAGAACCCTGGAGTCCCTCCAGTCATCAGAGCCATATCAAAACTACAAAGGAAAATAAAAGTGATAACCCTAAAGTTTAAGGAATGGCCAGCCCAGGTGGCTCACACCTGTAATCCCAGCACTTTGGGAGGCCAAGGCAGGAGGATCACAAGTTTAGGAGATTGAGACCATCCTGGCCAACATGGTGAAACCCTGCCTCTACTAAAAATACAAAAATTAGCCAGGCGTGGTGGCATGCGCCTATAATACCAGCCACTCGGGAGGCTGAGGCAGGGGAATCGCTTGAACCCTGAGGGGCAGAGGGTGCAGTGAGCTGAGATCTCCCCACTGCACTCCAGCCTGACAACAGAGGGAGGCTCCCTCATCTAAAAAAAAAAAAAAAAAATCTAAGGAGAGAGGGAGAACACACTTGTGACTTGCAGGTGTCAAGTGTCTGCTTCTGGGATACTGGCAATGTTCACCCTTGACCTAGGTGATGGTTTCATGGGTGTTGGCTTTATAAGTACAGTAAGTCCTCACTTAATATCCTTTTAGGTTCTTGCAAACTGCAGTTGGAAGTGAAAGGACATACACCAGGTCTTCAAATAACATCATTTCAATCAACGTCATCATTTCGTTATAATGTTGATGAGAAAAAAAATGTGGTTTCCTTATAGGTAATTTCATTTAAAGTCGGTTTTCAAACATCTGTTGACAACATTAAGAACTCACTGTATTCACTGCACTAGATTTTGTCTTAGGCAGTTTTCTATTGGTGATATAATTCACAGTGGGAGAAAAAGATCCAGTCGCGTCTCTTCTCACCTTCTTAAGACTCTCCCACTGTTTCAGTTGCTTCCCTTTGTAGAGGGTCAAAGGGCACACACACAAGGCAGAGATGTTAAAAGAGTGGAACTGACAGGCGTAGCCTGTGGTTGACCAGGGGAGGTGGGGGCGAGAAGAAAAGGGGATGTTGAAGCTGATGCCAGGGGGGTTAATTTCCCTGCTGAGAAGAATGAGGATTCACTCCAGGTCTGTGCCTGGGCTTGGGCCACAGGGCTCAGACTGATGCTCCAGAAACCCTTTGGCCCCAGTCTTAATTCATTTTTTGTTATTATAACTGAACACCACAGACTGCATAATTTATTTTTTTTTAAAAAGACATTTATGTAGCTCATGGTTCTGGAGGCTGCGAAATCCAAGAGCATGGTGTTGGCATCTGGTGAGGACCTTCTTACTGCATCATAGCATGGTGGGAGGCATCACACAGTGAGAGGACAAGAGCATGCACAATGGCTCAGGTCTCTCTACCTCTTCTTGTAAAGCCTCCAATCCTATCATGGGCCCTACCCTGATGATGTTATTTCATCCTAATTACCCACCAAAGACCCCACCCATAATGTCATCCACATATGAATGAGGATTCAGTTTCCAACAAATGAGCCGAGATCATGCCATTGCACTCTGGCCTGGGCAATAAGAGCAAAACTCCATCTAAACAACAACAACAACAAAAAAAAAAGCAGCTCCAAAACCAGTCTCCTCATGGACTTTATTAACATGCCACTCTAGTAATCTACAGCCCTCTTAAAATTCAGAAAAAAGTTACTACCCCCTTCAGCACAAATTTTAAACTCCCTCTCTGGCCTACAGACCCTGTCTCTTGCCACCCTATCCCGTACCCTCAGCCCCTGATCTCAGCCCAACCCTTTTTGCCCAGGCTTTCCCCAGTCCTAACACTTGACAATGCTCCAGACTCCCAACAGTGGCCCACTAGCTCTTCACTTAAAACACCACACATTCAGCAAAGACGACCCTGACCTCCAGCTCCAGTCACTTTCTCCATCTCCCTTATGCCCTCTCACTTCTCCCTAGCACTTCACATTCATGGTATTTTCCACAATTGTAACTGTTTACAATGATGTGTTTAATTTCTATGTCTTCCACCAAATTGACAGTTCCAAGAAGTCAAGGAAACTGGTGGAATCTTTGCTTTTCGACAAAGAGCCCCTGGAGAGCAGGGCTGGAGCTCCTCCTTCATCCCTGTCCCCAACAGAGGCAAGGGTGATGCTGGATTAAGCCTCTGCTAGGAACAAGTGATTAATTTTTCTCCTTATCAAGAACAGAAACCCCTGTACCAACGTCTGGACTAGGAGCCTGCTTCCCCTGAGTACAGCCTCCTTCCCTCCCTCCAGCCACTACTCCATGGAAGGCAAAAGGGAAAAGCTTCTCATTCAGAAGAAAATGTTTCTTCCCCCTTTACTTGTTGCCATGGAGACTGCTGTTCATTAACCTGGCTTGCCAGTTACCATTCTGAGTGAGGGAAGAGGGTGGAAAGCTCCAAGCAGGGAGGGTGTCTTTATGCACGCATGCGTTCATTGTTTCATCCCAGATACTCAATGAAGCTATGTCATCTAAGGGTAAGAATTCAGGATTTGAAGTCAGACACTGGATTTAAGCTCCAGTCCTGATATTCCACACAATCTTGGACCAGATATTTCACCTAGCTGCATCTCACTTTTGTCACCTGTAATGGAAATAAAAATAGTACCTACTTCATAGAATTGCTT